TGATGGCCATGTTAAGGCCGAAAATGCATCAAAATCACGTATTTTCACAATTCCAGAACCGGATCTCAGTCATGCATGGATGGATTTTGTTCAGATTTAGCACAATGTGTTGTACATATGCAGGTGCATTTCGGTCATGATCTGCTTTGAATGTATATGTCACTCAAATATGAACGGAACGGGGACGTGTCATTGACAATGACTTGTTAAGCAATATTTTGCACATTTTTATGTATTTAAAAAAAAAATAATTTTGGATATGTAACAGACATAATTTCCTACTGGCTACAGGTCCTGATGACAATTTTTGATGTTCAAAGGGTTAAAGTTCAAAGGTTAACAATACCATCTAATTTTAACAATGATCTATATTCAGTCTGACAAATACAAGAATAGTCAGTAAGACATATTCAATATTAGGTTGTAAATAATATTACTGCCATAATGGTATACTTTTGTTGGATGAATTCAAACTTGTGTGCTTTTAACAGCTCCAAAATATTCAGAAAAACAATCATGGTGTATATTACAAAAATGTGCGACACCATTTTGTTTTTTTAGCATCGGGTGCTGCCTATGCATTGAAAAGAGCTGGTAAAGATTTATGTGTAGTGTGTTATTTTGGTGATGGTGCCGCCAGTGAAGGTGATGCCCATGCAGCACTCAATTTTGCTGCAACTTTAGATGTACCTGTCATATTTTTTTGGTGAGTACTAAAATAGAAATATGTGCTTGATTATTATGGATCAGGCAAATACAAATAGGTAATATGTCATTAACATTGACAACACACTGTTTGAATGTGTGTGCATATGACTTGGTCGAAATTATTATGATTTTTTTTAGCATGTACCGATATATATATATATGTCTTCGATGCTGCAACCAGTCAGATGCAGAGGTATATTCTATATTTGTATTCTGGTAAATTGTGCCACACTTCTCTGAAATTTCACCATTTTTAACACATTTTTCAGTCGAAATAATGGTTATGCAATCTCCACGCCAACCCATGAACAGTATCGAGGAGATGGAATAGGTAGGTAATCAACGACTCTTCAATGAGGTCTGAATGTCCACTGTACATTAAGTAATTGTGACTCATTTGTTCAGTTTATTGCACATTAAGTAATTGTGATATTCATTTGTTCAGTTCATTGCACATTAAGTAATTGTGATACTCATTTGTTCAGTTCATTGCTCATTAAGCAATTGTGACTCGTTTGTTTAATTCATTGCTCATTAAGTAACTGATATTCATTTGTTCAGTTCATTGTACATTATGTAATTGTGATACTCATTTGTTCAGTTCATTGCACATTAAGTAATTGTGATACTCATTTGTTTGGTTCATTGCACATTAAGTAATTGTGATACTCGTTTGTTCAGTTCATTGTACATTATGTAATTGTGATACTCGTTTGTTCTGTTCATTGTACATTAAGTAATAGTGATACTCATTTGTTCAGTTCATTGCACATTAAGTAATTGTGATACTCATTTATTCAGTTCATTGCACATTAAGTAATTGTGATACTCATTTGTTCAGTTCATTGTACATTAAGTAATTGTGATACTCATTTGTTCAGTTCATTGCACATTAAGTAATTGTGATACTCATTTGTTCAGTTCATTGCACATTAAGTAATTGTGATACTCATTTGTTCAGTTCATTGCATATTATGTAATTGTGATACTCTTTTGTTCAGTTCATTGCACATTATGTAATTGTGATACTCATTTGTTCTGTTCATTGTACATTAAGTAATTGTGATACTCATTTGTTCAGTTCATTGCTCATTAAGCAATTGTGACTCATTTGTTTAATTCATTGCTCATTAAGTAACTGATATTCATTTGTTCAGTTCATTG